CCTCTGAATGCACATTTTTGTGTGCACTCAGAAGCTGGGTCAACTTCAAGAAATCTAAATCTCATATATACATAGATATATCTATGTATATATATGTTTTGTTTTTTTTCATGGAAATAGCCATTCGTTTTTTTGATCTTTCAGGATAATAAGTCAAAGACACCCTTGAAGGAAAAATACGGTGTCTTCGATCTGCTGAGGACAAGCAACATCAGAATCACGACACTCATTCTCTCCTTTGTGGCGTTAGTGTTATTTACTTGCCATTTATTCAATTATCTAGACCAGGGGTGTACCTAAAACTTCAAAATACCTTTAAATAACAAAAAGTCCATGTTTTCCCATTTGTTTTCATGCAAAGAAGTACAAGTATGTTAGAAAAATCTTCATATTTAATGAAATATAATTTCCCTAATCTGACCATGAAGTGTTTGTGTGTTTTTCAAACGTCTTCAAATGTCATCAAGTGGGCCAGATTGAACCCCCTAGTGGGCTGGATTTGGCCCACGGGTCATATTTTTGACACCACTGATCTAGACTGTCATCATATAATATGACTGCATTCATGTTTTTGCACAGCCATAGTGTATGTCTTGTTGACATGAAGTGAGAGTAAAAGAGGCATTTTATATTAGTAGTATAGTAGTATTAGTAGTAGTAAAATGTACATGTAGTGTAGGCTGGGATCCATGAATTGGGACGTGGTGTTAAATCCTATTTTAAATTTCACATTCAAATTCCAGGGTACTCTATTATGATTTTAATTACTACCTCTTGTGTGTAGGTTTACTATAACCACTGGATACTTTGCCCTCTGCTACAACACACCTCAGCTCCATGCTAATCCATACCTCAGCTGCTTCATCTCAGCAGTTACAGAGCTTCCTGCCTACATCTCCTGTTGGTTGGCACTGCGATTCTGGCCCAGACGACTGTCTCTTATTGCTGCCTTACTTGTTGGAGCAGTGTCACTGTATTCTATTCAACTGGTGCCTAATGGTAAGACTGAATCTGACTTTAAAATTCTGACATGTAACACAAGAAAACCAAACAGTAAAAGATTCAATACAACCTTTAACTGTAGTACAACAATTTATATTCTTTACCTGATCAAAGTATTGTAGTGTTGTTTATTTAAATTGTTTTTTAATGCTATCATATACTTGGAATAAAGAAATGTTTCCCTAAGAACCATAAAGGACACGATAAAACACTTAATTAGTGTTAATATACACTATATAATATATATTATATATATTATAATAATATATATATACTATAGAATAGTATATATATATCATATATATAAATCATATATATATCATTATATAATATATACTATATATTATATATAATATATATTAATAGTCAGTTAATATACTTTTCAGGCTATTTATTTTAATATATATATAAAAAAAATCACAATAATTGCATATTTTATTTATTGCCTAAGCGTTTTCTCTCTTTTTTTCTTACATTAGATAGATAGTTGATCCTAGGCTGGAATATTTTGTTAAATATATTTTGTTAAAGTTTTTAACCCTGTGATGTGCTAGGTATCTACACTGCTGGTGTAACAGCTGGATTTCCCTGGTTTAGGATTAGTGAAGTATTTTCCAACAGAAAGCACACGTTTTAAAACTTGATTTGAACTTGACATTATTATTATTTTCATTCAGGTCAAGCCTTTGTCAAATGACTCATTTCCCTGCAGCTGTCCTCATTGTCAAATATGTCTAAGTACTTGGTTTTGTACAATAGAACAAAGCTGAAAAAGGTTCTGTTTGAAACTCCTAATTTAGGGTAAAAGCAAGGTGCGGCTGTGTGCGCACTGTGTTTACACAAGACGTGTCCATTTGTCAAGACTATGTCTGTCTCCTCTTAATTTAGCAGAAAAGAAAACATCCTTTATCTTTCAGATCTACCACATCTGTCTCTTTCATTGGAGATGTTGGGTAAATATGGTCTCACCACTGCCAGCTCTATGATGTTTGCCTGACTGAGCTTTACCCAACGCCACTCAGGAACACGGCGACAGGGGCAACAGGGACCATCTCCAGACTGGGAAGCTGCCTCGCTCCACCTTTGTTAAAACTGAGTGCGATGGAATGTCAATGACCTGAGATTCTTCACACACATCCAAAAACATGTTATAGAGATGTATCTTTTAAGGCCCATTTGTTTTTTTAGGAATCTACTTCAAGTTCCTTCCTTATATCATCCTGGGAACTGTGTCCCTCTTGGCAGCCTTGTCTACCTTCTTCATGCCAGAGAGTTTTCAAAAACCTCTGCCTGAAACGATTGAACAGATGCAAAATAGCAAAAGGTATTACTTTGGCACATTTCATGTCGTGTCATCTCTGTCAAAGGTATTATCTTTTTAAATTGTTTCTTTTTTAGGCACCAAATCATGTTGTCACAAGTCTGTCAGGCATCTCAAACGTCTCTGACACATCATATAGGCTTTTCAACACCCAAATGTTAACATTTTAGGGCAGAGCCAAATGAAATTATTTGCCCTAGAACTTTACACTCTATTTGTATTCAAAATCCAAAATGTACCCATCAACAATCTATATTTATTATAATCTATATTTATGTTTAAGTATTGAAATTATCAACTTAATGAAACTACTCTTTTTATTTGTTTAATTTCTGTGTACAAGGATACTTTTTCTGATGATACTTTCCTGTTTATAGGGTTTTTTCATTAGGAATCAGGCATTATAGTCCTGTCAGTTCCAGAAGGCCACGTCTAACTCGTACTGTTTTTCTTTACAGGTTAAAGTTTGCATGTATCGGTGAAAAGAAAAAAATCTGTGCTGATGGAATGACCTCACGTTCCATTGCCATCATCTAGGATAGGTTGTTCACACTCACACGCACTTTACATAATCTGATTAGATATTGGGTTTTTGATTTTACTAGTTTCTGAGTATGAGGGTTGTTATGGTTTTGAATTTTTTCAGACAATTAAAAAAAAATTAAATATAATCTTATAATTATTTAAATGTTTCTCCTCATTTACAGGCTGGCAATCCTCCTTAAAACACTAATCATTCTACTTTATGTAGAATATCACTCCTACAATAATGCAGTATTAAGTCTATCATGTTTACCTTTTTTTAGATGAAAAAATATAAAAATGTAGACTGGAAATACACCATTTTTGTATGATTTTGTAGCTGTTTATAACATGGTATTTGTTGTTGTGAATGCCCAACAAGTCAAATTCAGATTTTATTTATTTTCAGTGTTTAATGGATCTATTGAACTGAACGGACTTGTAGGTTCTTGTTGTGCTGCCTTTTTTGCTCAATTTCTAAGGGTGTTATAGATTTTCTTGCTACCTAACGTCGTCTTGCCCCCTGGTGGTATGTTGCTCTCATTACAGGAAAATGTATTTTGTTTATTTATTAAAAAAATACAACTTTTATTCTGCCTCGTACACATTGCTTAAGTTGGATGTTTTTAAATTAAATATACTTTACTTTATTATTTATTTTTTCCTGATACACCATTGTCTTCAAATACCCCCAAAGGCATCAAAGATATAGAGATCTTATGAGTTTTGCCACAGCATCATGTGTGATATTTGTTCTAATTTTTCTGTTAAACGCATTTGCAACCATCCAACTGCTTCCTGAACCGGCCCTTTCATTAAGTTCACAATTACTGCCCAATTTACAAACCAAACAAATAAAAAATGTGCTTTTATCTTATTTATTTAAACAAAATGTAATCTAGAAAATTATTTGAATCTGTCTACTCCACAATCATTTATTACTAAAAAGCTATGTTTATATTACAAACTGCACCTAACTAAACAGTACATTTTGGTCTTGATCTACACAAAGTGATTTGTCTACATATATAGCGAGGTCCTAACAGTGAATTCTTATCAGCTTGCAGCACATTATTATTGTTCTTGGAGTGAACTGGGATCCAGTGATCTCTGAGGTGATGCACTCGTTGTTTCCTCCTTTTTGTCATCATCTTCATGCCAGGTAAGGCGTTCCTCATAGAAAGCTATGACAATCTGTGGACACTTGTGATTGGCCTCCTTGGCAAGGACAAGGTCAGCTTCATCAGACTCTTTCCATTTCATGAGAAACATTAGTTCCCCAGTAGAATCAGTTGCTCCAATGATCTTCTCAGGCCTTAGACCCCTTTCAAAACCGCGGGCAACAAGAATGGCCTCCTCTTTTTTCTTTTTTGCTCTACTCTCAGCTTCCTCCTCATCTGGGCTTCTTTTATTTGGGTCCTTAGCTCCTTTACTGTTCACTGTGGCACTGTTTTCCCCATTGCTGCTTTTCTTGTAGGTCTTCATGAACTCCGCAATAAGCTCCGGACACCCTAGATTCTTCTCTGGCTCCCATGTGTTGTATTTGTTCGAGTAGCCCTTCCATTTCAGAAAAAACTCCACTCTGCCTTTTGTTACCCTTCTGTCTAGAACCTTCTCCACCGTAAATTCTTCTTCCCCCTTTTCGGTACATTGTGTCTCCTCTTCTTGAGACTTTTTGCCCATTGTCGAGTTAGCTGTTTTGCTCTTTGCTTCAGCAGTCCAGAAATACTCTTCTCTTTCGTCTGCTGACTGTCTGTGCCGACCTGTTTTCAACAGTAATGCCGCATGCAAAAAAACGTATCCGTAAAAATACTTAAAATATGCTTCCGTATATAAAGTTCTACATTATATTTCCACAAAATAAATGACGAACTGTCTGATGTATTGCTCAAAAGCCCACCGCATGCGAAAATGTAACAATGCGCTGCCAGGGAGCACGCAAGGGACCAAAAGGGGTGTTTACAAATTTGAATTATACAACGGAATCCCGAGTACGAAAAAACAATTAGTGGGATATGTGATACAAATAGATTTCATTTTAAATTCTTAATTTCATTACTTCAATTGCATAGATCGCAACATAGTTCTTTACCACAGGGCATTATTAACCCCCCTAAACCCTTAACAATACGTAAAATGGTTCAGTCGTTGAGGTCACCGGAAGTTGTTTCAGCTGCCATGTTTGGCTGCTTTGTTGTAGGCTTTTTATCAGCTTTCCTACAGAATTACCAAGTGTGGAAATGGAGCCGAGCTGGAGTACGTTTCTTTTTCAAGTAAGTTGAATCACTGAGAGTGAAAGTACATTATCATGTCAAACATCCCATCTCGACGCATATGTTTCCTCAACTGGCGGTAAAGACTGTTTGTTTTAAACCATTTATGCTACGCTGAAGTAACCAAGCAAAACAATGGTATATGTATTCAGGCTTCCAGCTGTGAGGCTCGGGATGACGCTAGAACAAAAAATCTAATCTACCCAACGAGTGTTTTGTGAAATATGTCTTGTGGGTTAATATTACGACTTTAGGCATGTGCGTGACAGCGAATGTGATTTTTAAGTAAGTTTCCAAGTCGAATGCAGCAAAACATGTAGACGCCACAGCACCGTTACAATCGAGGCGGGCACGGTTTTCCCCGCTAAAGGCTTTGATGGGATCCTGATTATCAATGGACTGAAATATAACCCTTTAAAGTAAATTGTTTAATTTTAAGAATACATTTTGCTTCGAGGTTATAGCTGTATATGTTATTAATGCTCGAATAGGCGCGCACTTGGTAAGAAGCTGCTGAGATTTACTCAACGAGTCCGTTGTAAACTTTCCTCAGCCGAAGCCGGTTGGACTGCAACTAGCCATGTTAGCTAATGATGTTTAGACTGCCTCTACTTAATTTAACCACGAACTCGACTCAATTTCGGTCAAGGCCGACATAACAAGCTTTAACTCGGTGTATATTTTAAAGCCGAGCACGGCTGCCTATTACTCTTAACTATTTATGCCGTTGACCGCGGCTGAAAGGAATTTGAACTATGCACATATCAGCAGCTAACACGAAGAAGCAGAGTTGAAATTAGCAGCCACATTACGCAATTTTGTGGATATTCTTTTCACCCGACCGGCATGTGTGTTTGCAGCTGCTGGGCAGTGATTGCTTCGTTTAAATCTGTGTACTTTAATGATGGAAGGCTATTGTGCAGTGACATGAAACGTCTAATTTATTACTGCTCCCACTTTACATTGCCGTATCACGTGAATGTCAAATAAACAACCTGCAGTGTTTATGCGTATTGCAGTATTTTTTAACTGTCAGTTGTTGCAAGTTTTTCATCCACAAGTGTTTCAATCACAAGCAAGTCATATTTATACTTAGTCTGCGTGATATTTAGCAAAGTAACTGCAAGCTGTTTAAACAAAAAACGTGTCTGATGTCTCAAACATAATCTGATCCTGTCAACTATACATTTATAGTAATTGTATGCATATTTTGATATTACAGTTCTTTAACCCTTTTGTAAAAATAATAAATTGACACTTAATTGTGTCTCTTCACTATTTTGACAGGCAGATTGTGTCAATTATGTCACGTTGCATTTCAAACTCTTTGGTTTGTTAAATAAAACAGTTATCAGTGTAACAGTGTAAAGACCGATGGATTATAAGGCCTCAATTGTTGCCTGTCACATCTTTTAGCTCTTTTTCTTGCTGATGAAAAAGACCGATGGATTATAAGGCCTCAATAATCAATAATATTTAAGTAGTTTTAGAAAATGTGCAAGAAGAAATCTAATATTGAAAGAAAGCTTGTTGTTGAACATACGGTGTGAGTTTGGTCGTGGGACAGGACATATCTGAGCTACCTGAAAACTAATTCAGCAGGTGATTTGAGCTCATTTCACTGAAACAAGATGGTCCCAGACAGTAACACTTATGTTCCTTTTTCCCAGTCTAACATTATTATTGTGTCGTCACACTGTTAAGCAAAATTGAGCATTAAATTCAGTCAGTTGTTATTTAAAAAAATCTTTGGCAAACACGCATCGTGCATCATTTAAACCCATTGGCTCTGTTCAAGTCTACTGTGGCCCAGGGGTCACCACCTCCATTATGATATTGAGGTAGCAGCTACCTTCGCAGTTGAAATGGTGAAAGCTGCGTTGGAACACAGCTGCTTATAGACTACCTCTGACAAAAACACACTGTTGTTCAAACATTTTACAAAGATAATACATGGCTGGTATCACTTAGTTTAAACATAAAGAGCCCTCCTACAATTGTTTGGGTAGTCTTTGGGGGAGTTTCCACAACGTCTTCCTGCATATTTGGGTATAGTCGGGCATTAAGCTGAGTAGTGCATGGAGAAACAATGTCCCCGTTTCATGAATGAATGTGCTAAATCAGTAAAGATGAGCATACAAAGAACCCCTGCTAGGACCCAAGTGCATCACTGCTCAGATTAGTGTCTTTCACAATAGACTGGATGACATATGGAGGACACTGTGGTTCATTCTCCTTCTCTTACCCTGTCTGTCCAAATATTTTTCTTTTTTTTATTGCACCATTTTCTTAGTTGTTTTTTTTTTAATGATCAACAGTTTGTCAGAACACATTTGTCTCTGTCTTGGGCTGGCGACCTCACAAGTGTGTCCCTGCATTTATCCTAACCTGAGGTTAACTTTGGCTTTATCAAAAACATTTTTCAGATGAGGATGTCATGTCAACACCAGTGCCCATGGTTTATATTCTATAGAAAGTATAATATTTATTGCTACTTTTGTTTTATCAGCAGGCTAATGATGCACTCCACCACCAGCATCAGATGGCACACAACAGCCTGCTGCCACTTCTTAATGCAGGAACTGAGCAGGTTGACCAGAAGCCAATCCTACCCATTCAAATGGAACAGAAACCCCCTCCCAATGCTTCTGATGTCCTCAAAGATAACCTGGTGGGTGGAGGTTCACAGCCACCAGTGCCTGTGGTGAAGAAAGAACACAAAGCCAAAACACCATTTGTATGTGGCTACTGCAACAAAGCTTTCCGTGACAGCTACCACCTGCGACGCCACGAGTCCAGCCACACTGGAATCAAGATGGTTTCACGACCAAAGAAAACAGCCCAAACTGCCCCCACCATGGTACCGATGATCTCTACTGTACCAAACGAAAACAACGGCAACCCTTCCTACAACTCCACAGTAGTTGGCATCCTGTCTACAGCAACCACATCAGTGTCCTCGGGCACAGGCATGGTTATGGTATCACCAGCTATGGGTAATGTGCCACAGCAAAATGTTGTCAAGAAACCCCCCAAACCCGTCAAGAAAAACCATGGGTGTGAGATGTGTGGCAAAGCATTTCGTGATGTGTACCACCTCAATCGCCACAAGCTGTCCCACTCAGATGAGAAGCCTTTTGAGTGCCCCATCTGCCAGCAACGGTTTAAAAGGAAGGACAGAATGACCTACCATGTTCGTTCTCATGACGGTGGTGTTCACAAGCCTTACGTGTGTTCAGTTTGTGGGAAAGGATTTTCCAGGTAAGAATGACATTTTTGACATATGTGGTAACTTTCTTAGTTACTTTTGACATAAAATTGAGCTCCCATGGCCACATACAGAGACAAACAACCATTCCAACTCGCATTCATACGCATGCTCAGTTTCAAGCTCTAAATTTTAACTCGCTCATGAATATAGATTGGCAACCCCTATGTATTTGCTGAGCCTTAAGAGCTGGAAAGAGATTTAATGGGCAGATTTTATTACTGTTGTCAAATTCTTTGAACATTCCTCACACAGTTCTTGAAGCGGTGCATTCAAATTTTTGTTAGACCCAATCACTGTGTTGATTCGCTATCATGTCACAGAAATATAGTGAATTATAATAGTTGTAATGACTGTAATGGTTGGATCAGCAAATTGAATTGGTAGTAGGTTAAAAAAACACACTAACACCTCATTTACATAAATGCTTCCAAACAGTGATGTCAGGACGGGATTCATCAACATGCTGGAAAGTGGGAATGGCGACGAAGTAATGGGAAACTGAGTCACTACTTGATCCTTTGGCAGACCTCGTAAGGAGGCTTCTGCTGCTCTCTGTGACAGGCACACAAACATTTGATTCCAATTTATGGTACCACTACGAAAATTGATATATTCTAACATTCAACATTTGTGCATTCGGAAGAATCAAGCATCGTGAGGCATTCTGTTTGTCAGGCAATTGCCAGTGTGTTAGCCTTAGCTCATACTCTACAGGGCAACATGTTAGCTCACAGCCTCGCTAGCGTTAACATGCCCGCAGAGGAGGATTCCAGCCAAAAATACACTTTGGATGCTGCAATTAGAGGATAAAAGATGACTACGTGTCAGATTTGTGATGCTAATTGAAAGCTACATTTAAAGCACATGTACCTTGCATATCATTTTCTGTTTGACTTACAATGGCTAACAGCACCATGTTGCCAATGTTGGGTCCAACTGTGTGCTTTCAGGACATAGAAAGAAGTGCCAATATTGCTGTGCCTTATTTTATTATTATCATTATAAATTATCCGACAAGCTCAAATATAATTTTTCTATACTTGTCTGTACAATGAATTTAAAACCCATTTTGTCCTCACCTTTGCTTACGCTTTTTCCTGGAACCTGTATGCTAATTTGCATTAAATTTGTGTGTACTTCCATTCCTTCACTTAATTCACCTGCTGTGGGGTTTTTTTATATTCTGGGAGTAAGAATGAAAAATGTGTTGATCTGTGTGTACGCCTAAATGCATCACTGCTCAGAGATTAAATTATTGCTCTTTTGTGTTTTGTAAATCTAGGCCTGACCATTTGAGCTGTCACGTTAAGCATGTGCATTCCTCAGAGAGACCATTTAAGTGTCAAGTAACGGTAAGAATAACTTTTACAACCAAACAATAACGACTAATCTTTCTATCTATCTTCTTCTCTTAACTTTGTTTCACTAACTTTGTCTGCTGTGTTGTCACAGGCCTGTACGTCTGCTTTTGCTACTAAAGACAGATTGCGATCCCACATGATCAGACATGAAGGCAAAGTCACCTGTAGTATCTGTGGGAAAATGCTCAGTGCAGCCTACATCACCAGCCATTTAAAGACCCATGGACAGACCAACTTCAACTGTAATAAAGGTATGTCCCAAATGGCAACACTTGTTGAAAGTTAACATTTTAGTGACTGTTTCCTGCCCTGTATTTCTTTAAGGAAAACAATCTGGGTGATGTAAATACTTTTGAATTCTGCAAAAATGTGCTTGCACAGCACTGTGGATATTATCAAAGTACTCATTGTTATATTTCTATAAATAATGAAATACTAAATCTTTCTTTCTTGTATTGATGTCAGTAAACATGTATGACCTGCCAAAGTACACCTCCTTCTGTGTTACTGCAAAACTGACATCCAATACTTTTCTGTTTCTCCAGAGAGCAACGAGGTCTGCAACTCTGCCTCTGCCACACCTGTGACTGCCACTGCCCCCATTACCACGGCAATGAACCGAGGCCTCTCCAACAACAATGCCACTGTCACTATAGCTGCACAAATGAACATAAGCACCAACACAGTGAACATCACTTCTCCAGTCACTTTGCAGCATCCTGTGACCATCACCGGGCCTGTCAACATCACCTCCGTCAATATCCCAGCCACAGCACCCATGAATATTGCCCACCCTGTTGCAATAACGACCCCCATGCCTATGAATATAACCGGCCCCCTCAACATTGCCATGAGGCCGGTTGATAGCATGTCTTTTCTGTCTCAAGTTTTGCCCTCTTCGCCGCCCTGGTAAAAAGGAGAAGTAGAGAAGATAAGCGGTCTGAACGGGCCAGAGGAAAAAAGTGAAAGATGACAAAAGATCCTGTCACCTCGATGTGACATCCCTGCTCCTCCTGAACCCACTGTCCCTCATTGAAGTAAATATTTGTACTGTAAGCTCTGAGCAGCCTGACCAGTCACGTTCACGGCTCAGCTGTCAAGAGACATGACATATGACATGAGATTAAAGACTTGCATATGATTGGAGGAGGATTTCTCTTCAAATCAGGGGAACAGTCAGATTTCGTGTCGTCAGGTAGAATTATCAAACTGTGATTTTGTTCCATGGGAAGTGACAGATGAGTATTCCTCAAGCACACTTGAAGACAGTTAGGTTAAACAGGCCTTTTTTTGTAAAAAGGAGATGAAAAATGGACTGAAGCAATAACTACAAATTGCTGTTTTTAAGATCTCTCCTAAAGCCCACTAAGTCTTGCTTTTATGATTTTTGTTTTTTACATTAGCCATCTAAACACATTGAACAAAATGGTTCTAGTAAAAGGGACAGAAACTTTCACTTGAATGGAAGAGTATTTTTTCAGAGTGAATAGCTTTTCTTTTTTTTCATACATAGTTGGTATGCTCTTGAGGTACAACAACTAACTTGTACAGTTGTCATTGTGATGTATTTTCATGTCAGCCTTTTAGGTTTTTGTCCAGTGTTCAAGTGGACTCGTCAATGCTGTCCTCTTGACTATGAACAAATAATTTAGTACAGCGAAACAATGGTTTGTTTCTTCTTTTTTTTATCACTTTTTTTCTTAAAGAAGTGTTGCACTGAAAGCATATCCTACAGGTGAGTAGCAGCAGTATTATGAAAGGACAAATTGAATTGTCGTGATGTAGTGTGATGGCCAGCCGGCAGGTGACGGCTATTGCATGGGTAAGAAAGACTGGCTGTTTAGAGACGCATCTTAAGCCTGTTGCTGTTATCATAAAGGCAATTGATGGTTGACAGAAGCATCCAGTGTCAAAGTGAAGCCACAGACGTCTACAACTATTGATAGCTCCCTTCAAAAGTCACTCTGCATCAGAAGAAGTGTGTGGTAAATGTCCCCTGTTCACTCTTCAACATCCATAATGTTTACAAGTCTCATTTACAAGTTTGGGTTACTTTTCAAAAACGAAACACCTTCAATTTGTTAATTACAATCGTGGACCAATCATGTAATAGTCTCATCTGTTATTCATAGAGTAAGATCTTAATGTACAGAGTTGGTCCTGATGTGTTGAAGAAATATCCAGTCCAGTATTAATGGATAAATGATGATTTTTAGAATTTTCCATTCATGTGTAATTTATACCAAAAACAGAGCACGACCATTGAAGTTCACCTGAGCTACAGCGAGACAACTACAGTACGTCGGTTTCTTTATACTTGTCTGTTTAGGTGTCGGAATGTTTTGTACTTTGTTGCGCGTTTTTGTTACCTTAGCGGTGACACTTTAGAAAACCCTTGAGTCACGGCTGTGGACAAAGAACTGAATCATGCTTCCATTCAGAACAAGATGGCCAGCGATGACTTTGAATAGTTTTAATCCCCCTCTCCATCTGAGTTATCAGTAGTGTCAGTATCAGGTTAGAACTCAGAGGAGAGGTCAAGTCCATCAAAGTTAGGAACACGTTCCCAAACACTGACTTTCGACCATCAGTTAATAACAAAAAAAAGTGGTGTTTTAAAAGTGTTGCAGCTTTTTTTTAGTTGCTCTATTTTATTTTTTTTACTGAAAAAAAATGCAATGTGCATGTTCATCTTTCTTGCAAAAAGATTTGATAGGAACAAAGTGTCATTTGCTATTTTGTTGCTAAACTTTTACACTGACAACATGTCTGCCCAATATATTACAAAAACAATGTGTTGATGAAATGAAACATTTCTTGTGAAATTGATCGTGTCTCTTTATTTTTAAGGTGAAAAGGAAAATCTAGGACCCTTGTGAGAGCAGTTGAATGTATATCTTTGTACAATATCGTTTTAGTTCCAAGAATATGATAGTTACTATAGGTGTGAAAGATAGAATAACCTTTTTACAGACCTTTGTAATAGTACATTAACAACAGTAATTTTGTACATATACATGCAAAGCTTTCTGGTTAGCAGAAAGATGGAACATTCCTACTTTTTTTAATTAACGTTTGTTATGTTAAAACATAAACATCCGCAATGTTACGTGCCTTTTTTGGGTTGTCTAAATAAAAGAAAACTATCAAATGTTAATGGGTCAGGTACTGTTTATAATGGGACAGCAACTTTGGGGTTATCAGTGATAAGAAAATGCACTGTGTGATAAGTTAGTATGCACATGCTTTTATTTTTAGACTTTTAGAGCTGTTAATGTGTTAACTTTGTTTAATCAATCAATCTGTGTATTCAGAACAGTTCAGCAACTGTGTTTTTGAATAAATGATAATAATAATAATAGTTTTACTGGACATTGTACGTACGAATGTGTGTGCTAACATACACCACAGCCAGGCAAGGCAGGAATCGAATCAATGATCTTCTAAAATAGACCCGATTCTCTTTTCGTGTTCACTTAATAGGTGCAGTGCCGAAATGTCCAGCAGGTGGAGGTGTGTATGCATTTTTTTTTTACTGTTTCCTTCTCTCCGTCGTCGCTGTTAATATGCAAATGAATATGTTAAATGAACTTTTATCTTATGATCATGATTTATGTTAGGCCAGCAGAGAAGGCCTTGCTGGCCCTGACGGCCCACCACTGCTATAATCCAAGACGAACAGTTATGTCCGTTAGCATGTTATCATGTCAGCTGTGTTGAGGGATTCAGTGGCCAAAGAAGAGAAAAGTGAAGTAACTGTCAGTTGTGCAACACAAGTGTTGGTAAGAGTGGTACTGACGGTTTCATCATCGCCAACTGTTGGCATGTCTAAAGTACTGTACTGTGTTGCACTTTTGTTTTTACTAAGTTAAAATGACTAAGGAACTGGTCTACAATGCAATAATTTGCCTTCACTGAAGATTGGGCCACACTGAGTGTGAGGTATCTTCTATCACAGTGGAAATTTTTTTTTTGTTTTAATTATATAACCCAGATTTAAAAATTGCCTGTCATATTTGTATTTTCAATAATCATTTATTTTTCTGCTGAGTCTGTCTGACAAACTAAAGGATTCCACTGGGCCTTGACCTCCCCAGACCGAAGAGATAAAGGCTTTTAGAAATCCTGGCCTCAGATTGTCTGTATGTCTAATTTAATCTGAAGACATGTGCTCAAGTGCTGTCACATAGTACAACAACTTAAAGGGCTTAAGTGATTGTCAGGGCAGGAGGGGATCATGCTATCCTCAACTCAGTCCGCTCAGCTAGCCTTCAAAGGCCTATACATTTGCTAACTTTACAGGAAAAACACTTGCTTTAACTTTGGAATTACTGCCAAGAGGAACTCAAGGTGAGTGATATTTACATGGAAACAAATTCTTTAAGGAGGATAGAAGACAGTGGGCAAGAGTAAAGATAATGATATCCAACATTTGATTTGATCTCTGGAGGGACTTGGTTCACCCTGTTATCATAATAATTATTCATCTGTTACAACATAAAAAATCAGTACTGATGATAATCACATTAATGGGTTTTGTGGTATCTATGTCGAATAGGTTAGGTAAATTAATTTTGTTTTAAAGTGACTTGTCTGAAGTGCTGACACACAGCAAGCACCAATTAAATTTGGTTTAGGGTTTGTACTTACAATAAAGCTGAAATAATTCAATAGTTAAATGCTAAATACATTGTTTAATATATGCTTTTCATTTGTACAAACAGGGGAGTCTGTGCCCAGTCTATATTTCCTAGTTTATAATTTTGCACTTAATTCACTATGTCAGATAAATATTTGACTTAGATCTTGAAATCATTAACAGAGACTCTGCTAAGATAACTCAAATAAACTAAACAAAAGAACAATTAACCAGATGTCTGTAATACTCTAAAAACCGACAAACACAATCCTTTTATTTAAATTGTTGTCAGGCTCACTGTGGGTTACACACTCCCCTGTCTATTAAAGAGGGTTACATCACAGTGAGATGATTGACTGTTACTATCATCAGCTGTCATCAAACTACATCAATTCTTCTCCAGGTACTGTTGATGCTGAGCCACATGCTGATCAAACTTTTTTCTCCTAAACTTTAAATAGCAACAGTAGCCAAATCCATAAAAAAGACAGAGTTTGCATGTAATCAAATGTATGATCCTGATGAAACTAAACATCCAGTTCACAGAACACGAGCAGACTGGCTTAGGCCTGAGACTTAAACATTGGTCTGAGGAGAGATTATTACTCAGGAGGAGAGGTTTCCAACAGCTTTGCCTGGTTTTTCATGATTGCATGGCGTGATTTGATGCTTTGCCAGACATGGCTGGCACTAAGTTTAGAGATTGTCTGCCCGACAACAACAGAGAAAGATGGCAAATGGGGGCGTAGAAACCCAGGACCTGTGAATTTCAACTCACATTTTACCACAGTGTGTTCAGGGAAAAGTACATCGCACCTTCTCTGCTGTTATGAGACATGTGTGCTGTTGCTTCACACTGCAAACTCACCTCATACATTAAATATGCAATGTTTCCATTTGAGGACGTGTATTTCATTTTCAGTTTTACTAAACATCTAATATCTCTGCTAAGATCTCTCTCCAGGGTATTGACATTTAAATTTAGGGCTTAACTATGGACCTATGAGTCATAGTTTAGATTTTTTTGCAAAATAAATAATCCACAAATTAAAGTATAATAATTTGGAAAACAGAACAATTGTTGGATGTCTGCATTTTTAATTATTGAAAACATCTGTAATCCTGGCCAAACCCATATTCAGTTTGCACAAATGACAGCCTAAAGTGCAGAGAACCCCACTGTGCTTCACTGTTGCCGGCAGATACACACCATTGTACTGTTCTGCAGCCCTCGGGTGACAAATGGTTTCTGCTGCATCCAAATATTTCAAGAATCATCAGTCAGCAATTTCATTTCCTATTTATGCACAATCGTTTCTGTGCCTTTAACATAGTTAAAAATGGAGGACACAGAATGAGCTCTTTTCAACCGACTGTTTTTACCAGAATGCAAAATGATCAAATGTATAATTAATAATCTTTTGCCTTACATTCTATTTATTTTTTAGAAACCTACTAAATAGAATAACTTTAGCTTTTTTTTAACTTTAGAGCTATTGATGCCAAATGTTCAAACAGTATAGGATTTGGAGCAACATTATGGTACATTGGTTAAGATAATAGTAGATTCAGTCCAAATATGAATCATTATTTGTTTGCAATCTTGCAAAGAAACGATACATAATAATAATACCAATACCAATAATAATAACGATAAATAATAATAATACGTTTTACGTTTTACCAGTAATCTGGTGGACTGGGCATGCGCGCGACTTCATTTCCCAGACTACACCGCGCCAATGATGTTCCCAACAGCTGACAGACGGTGAGCAGCCTCTGTCAGAGCTGTCGCTGGACTGGACTGTCTGTTGGCCTGTGCCGAGTAGAAACACTCATAGGTCGGTCAGCGGATGAAAACCTCCTTCAAATTGGCTTTTTATCGAGCCAATAAAGGAAAATTAAATTCACCATTCGATTCGCATCCTCTTCGGGAGCGGGGGTGGGGAGGGGGGCACCTGGTGTCAGCTAACTTCCACAATAGGTCGCTTGCGCCGCGTTGCGTCGCTCGTTACGGCTGCATATGTTCGTTTTGACTGCAACTATCGTAGCCGTGGCCGATGCTGAGGAATGGATAGTGTGTCTGTAAACGGCGCGAAGATGGTGGAGAGTGATGATGAGCTGCAGCCACAGAGGGACAGCGGCGGTGGCGCAGCGATGGCCGCGCTTCATCAATGCGAACTCATCCAAAACATGATTGATATCTCCATCTCCAGTTTACAGGGACTGCGCACCAAATGCGCCGCGTCCAACGACCTGACACAGCAGGAGATCCGCACTTTAGAGGTAACCAGCTGTTTGTTTGTTTTTTTCATTTGAATTTTTCACATACACTCCAATCGGACGGAGCAGCAGCACCATCATGCAAGCACACACACACACACACACACACACACACACACGCACGCAGCAGTCGATTCAAACTGCGGAGTCATGAAGCCTTACGTTCACTAACATAAAGGCTGTGAGTGTCGATTCACTGATCCAAGACCGTTTTTATCGCTAATGTTAAAGCGATGGCGCAGATATTACGGGGCATTTCCGTTAAAAATATTATCCTTGGTGTTATTTATTACTGATGTCTGATGCAGGGAGGCAGGACAGTGTGTGTGTGACCTCCGTCACCCATTATTTGTTAAAGGATACGGCTTTGTTCCAGCTTGGTTTTATATCGGCGTGCATTTAATCGACTTGTGTATTTTTATAATCGACTCTCTGCAGTGAGAATCGCTACGACAGTAAACGTTCTACGCGTTCTTTGTGTGAACGTGCGGTTGCCTTCAGCTGGGCCTCGGTCTGTCACAGGGTACAGTACATCGTCCAAGCAGTTCAACAGAATGAATGGCTGCATCATTGCTACCACGTCCTGCATCAGTGCAC